TTTGACAATTTTTATTTTCAGGCGAAAAAAATTCAAAATTTTCGAAAATTGAAGGTTAATGTTCACGCTTTTTGAGAAATTTTAGAGGTTTCGGGGCCCGGTGTCGAAAAGTTTTGAGGTTTTTGGGAATACATATGGGGTCATATAATGCCGTTTGAAAACATATATGATCATTATATGTTGTTATAGAAGTTCGTGGTAGGCTTGAGTTAATGAAATCGGTGCAAGTTGTAAATCGGTAAATTGGTCGTTTAAAGCCAAATTGGATGGTTCCACCCACCCAATTAGACTCCCGGAGGTTATTAGTGACCATAGTAAACATTTAAGGAATTTTTTTTTCGAGCAAAAAAAGTCAAAAAAATTCCAAAATTAAAGGCTAAGATCCACGTTTTTGAGATAATTTGCAGGTTTCGAGTCCTAGTGTCGAAAAGCCTTTAAATTTTAGGGGATACATCTCGGGGTCTTGTAATTCCGTTTGGAACCATTTATTATCATTATATGTTGTTATAAATGTTCGTGGTAGGCTTGATTTAAAGAAATCGGTGCAAGTTGTAAACCGGTAAATTGGTCGTTTAAAGGCAAATTGGATATTTCAACCCACACAATTGGACTCCCGGAGGGTATTAGGAACCATGGTAAAAAATTTGACAATTTTAATTTCCGGGCGAAAAAAAGCCGAAAAATTCAAAATTGAAGGCTAATATCCACGCTTTTTGAGAAATTTTGAAGATTTCGAGGCCCGGTGACGAAAAGTCTCGAAAATTTTAGGGATACATCTCAGGGTCCTATAATGCCGTTTGAATCATATATAATCATTATATGTTGTCATAAAAGTTCTTGGTAGGCTTCATTTAATGAAATTGGTGCAAGTCGTATACCGGTAAATTGGCCGTTTAAAGGCAAATTGGATGGCTCCATCCACCCAATTGGATTATCGGATGATATTAGGGACCATGGTAACAATTCGGCAATTTTTATTTACGGGCGAAAAGAGTCAAAAAATTTCAAAATTGAAGCTAATATCTACACTTTTTGAGAAAATTTGGAGGTTTTGAGCCCGGTGTCGAAAAGTCTTGAAATTCTAGGGGATATATCCTGGGGTCATATAATGCTGTTTGGAATAATATATGTTCATTATTTGTTGTCATAAATTTTCGTGGTAGGCTTGAATTAATGAAATCGGTGCAAGTTGTAAACCGATAAATTGGTCGTTTAAAAGCAAATTGGATGGTTCCACCCACCCAATTGAACTCTCAGAGGGTATTAGGGATTATGGTAAACATTTTGTTAATTTTTATTTCCGGGTGAAAAAATCAAAAAATTCCAAAATTGAAGTCTAATGTCCACGCTTTTTAAGAAATTTTGGAGGTTTCGGGGTCCGTTGACGAAAAGACACGAGATTTTAGGGGGCACATCTTGGGGTCATATAATGCCATTTGAAACCATATATAATCATTATATGTTGTCATAAATTTTCGTGGTAGACTTGAATTAATGAAATCGGTGCAAGTTGTATATCGTAAATTGTCCGTTTAAAGGCAAATTGGTTCCTACCCAATTGGACTCTCGGATGGTATTAGGGACCATGGTAAACATTTCGGCAATTTTTATTTCCGGCCGAAAAAAAAGTAAAAAAAATTCAAAAATTAAAGGCTTATATCCACGCTTTTAAAGAAATTTTGGAGTATTCGGGGCCGGTGTCTAAAAGTCTAGAAATTCTAGGGAATACATCTTGTGGTTATATAATGTCGTTTGGACCAATATATGATCATTATTTGTTGTTATAAATGTTCGTGGTAGGCTTGAGTTATTGAAATCGGTGCAAGTTGTAAACCAGTAAATTGGCCGTTTAAAGGCAAATTGGATGGTTCCACCCACCCAATTGGACTCCCGGAGGGTATTAGGGACCATGGTAATTATTTCGGCAATTATTATTTCTGGGCGAAAAAAGTCAAAAAATTCCAAAATTGAAATCCACGCTTTTTGAGAAATTTGGTATGTTTCGAGACCCGATGTCAAAAAGGTTTGAGATTTTATGGGATACATCTCGGGGTCATATAATGCCGTTTTGAACCATAAATGATTATTATATGTTGTCATAAATGTTCGTAGTAGGCTTGAGTTAACTAAATCGGTGGAAGTTGTAAACCAATAAATTGGCCGTTTAAAGGAAAATATGATGGTTCCACCCACCCAGTTTGACTCCTGGAGGGTATTAGGGAACATAGTAAACATTTCGGCAATTTTTATTTCCGGGCGAAAAAAATGTAAAAAAATTTCAAAATTGAATGCTAATATCCACACTTTTTGAGAAATTTTGGAAGTTTCGAGGCCCGGTGTCGAAAATCTTTTAGGTTATAGAGGATACATCTCGGGGTCGTATAAGCCATTTGGAACCATATATGATCATTATATTTTGTCATAAATGTTTGTGGTAGACTTGAGTTAATGAAATCGGCGAAAGTTGCAAACCGGTAAATTGGCCGTTTAAAGACAAATTGGATGGTTCCACCCACCCAATTGGACTCCCAGAGGGTATTAGAGACCTTGGTAAACATTTCGGAAATTTTTATATCCGGGCTATATCCACGCTTTTTGATAAATTTTGGAGGTTTCGGGGCCCAGTGTCGAAAAGTCTTCAAATTCATGGAAATACATCTCGGGGTCTTATAATGTCGTTTGGAACCTTATATGATCATTATTTGTTGTAATAAATGTTCGTGGTAGGCTTGAATTAATGAAATCAATGCAAGTTGTAAACCGGTAAATTGGTCGTTTAAAGGTAAATTGGATGGTTCCACCCACCCAATTGGACTCCCGGTGGGTATTAGGGCCCATGGAAAACGTTTCGGCAATTTTTATATTCGGGCGAAAAAAGTCAAAAAATTCCAAAATTAAAGGCTAATATCCACCCGTTTTGAGAAATTTCGAATGTTTCGGGGCTCGATATCGAAAAGCACTGAGTTTTTAGGGGTTACATTTCGGGTATATATAATGTCGTTTGGAACCATATATGATTATTATATGTTGTCATAAATGTTTGTGGTAGGCTTGAATTAATGAAATCGGTGCAAGTTGTAAACCGGTAAATTGCTCGTTTAAGGGAAAATTGGATGGTTCCACCCAGCTAATTGGACTCCCGGAGGATATTAGGGATCATGGTAAATATTTCGAAATTTTTTATTTTCAAGTATAAAAAAGTCAAAAAATTCCAAAATTGAAGACTATTATCCACATTTTTTGAGTAATTTTGGAGGTTTCGAGTAGAGATGTCGATTCGGGTAAACGAGTCGGGTTTGGGTCGGTAAGAGTGGCTCGGGTCAACTCTGGTCGGGTCAATTTGGATTAATTCCATAACCTATGCGGGTTGGGTTTGGGTTGGGTCATGCTTTAGTCTAGTCACGTCAGGTCATACTTCTTATCTGGTTTGGGTCAGGTTAATAACATGTCGGGTTACATTCGGGTTGGGTGAGCAATAGGTCGGGTTTAATTCGGCGGGTTAAAACGGGTTAGGGTAATTATCGGGTTCGACTCGAGTTTGGTTCAAGTAAATAGTTTGCGGGTTATAATCAGGTCGGTTCATTCTCGGGTTTGAGTCGGGTTCGGTTCAAGTCAATAATTTGTTGGTTATAATCAGGTCGGGTCATTTTCAAGTCGGGTCATTCTCGGGTTCAACGTGCGGGTTTTAATCAGGTTGGGTCATTCTCGAATTCAAGTCAGGTTATGTTCAAGTCAATATTTTGCAGGTTACAATCAGGTCGGGTCATTTCCTAGTGAGGTCATATTCGGGTTCAACTAATTATAAATAGATAATTATCATTTTTTAAAGCTAATTATTTCCTTTGACTATAATATATATGGCAATATACTAGGGAAATATAATCTATAAATTAGGAAGATAATTATCTCCTTTGACCATACAACAAATATATATACTATATTTAACTCTTAAATTTGAGGATGATGCTCCTTTCTTTTGCTGGCCTGGACCGACTTGGTCTCCCTAGACAAAATGCTTTGATCAACGATAATAAGGTGGTCTAAATTGTATTTAAGGTGATTTGAAACAGGGTCGGGAACAATTTAGGTTGAATTTAGGTCGGGTCAATAACAAGTCGTGTTGATTTCGAGTCGGGTTAGTAACAGATCGGGTTGAATTTTAGGGTCGGGTTAGTAATAGGTCTGGTAAAATTCGGGTTGGGTCAATAACAACTCGGGTTGAATTTGGGTCAGGTCAATAATAAGTCGGGTTGATTTCGGGTCGGATTTGTAACAAGTTGGGTTAAATTCGGGTCGGGTTGAATTCAGGTCAGGTTAGTAACAAATCGGGTTAAATTCGGGTTTTGACGAGTTAAAACGGGTTTGGGTCAATTTCGGTTCAAGTCGGGTTCAGGTCAATAATTTACGGGTTACATTCGGGTTGGGTTATCTCCAGGTCAATTAATGTTCGGGTTCGGGTCTCACATACTCAGGTCAACTCGGGTCTAGGGTTGGTTTCTAGTCGGGTTTGAGTCACCATTTTTTGTAGTTTAGATGGGTCGGTTAATAATCGAGTTTAAGTCGGTATTTCGAATCGGGTTAACTTTTGACAGCTCTAGTGCAAGCTACCTTTTGGCTTTGCCTAGGCTACATGTTTGTAGCACTAAACATGTCATATCATAGTCTATGGGATCCGCCCATGTGATGGGGTTCGATTCCTCAAAGCTCCTTCTCCTGTGATAGGAAAAGGGCCCCTCCCCCGTAATTTACTGAAGAAAAAAAAAACATAGTATATGGGACGAAGACCATACCACAACCATGACACAAGAGTTCAAGTTAACCGCATGTGGCAGCTAGACATGGACGGTTCTGTCAAGTGTTTAGGCAGCCCTGTGAATTTGACAGCATGACAAAAGAGCTTGGGCAATCCACTGGCACAAGAGTAAGAACTGAAGTCTGAATTTAAAAACTACTAAAATGAGTATAATAATTATAAATCTGACGTTAGAGCTCAATACATATTTTCAAAAATTTCTGATCAAGAGTAATAAATTTCGCGTTAGAACTCAATACATATTTTCAGATATTTATGATCAAGAATGAAAATTTTGACAACTAAACTATACTGCAGCATATGCCAGAAGCCCAGAACAGAAGGTAATACTAAAATGCCTGATTCTTAATAATAACTAGAAGTATAGAACATTTAGAGTTTCTTGGACCCAAAAATATGGACCCAAACAAATAATTCAGACTGTTAGCATTGCCAAATCGCCATGTTACAACACTGAAGATATTCACACCCCATGGCAAACCCAAAGATCCTAGATAGAAAAAGATTAAAGGACATTTACATTTCTATAAATTGGGGGCCTCATACCTCCAGTTCCTTAGACAAGCTTCTTACAATTTCTGTTTCGCCTTCACCTGAAGGTGTAAGCCGAATTCTCTTTGCCAGTCGCACCTCATCTGAGTCTGAAGCTGAATCTTCAACCATCTCATTAATGCCTGCAGTTTCTCCTTCATCTCCAATATTCTGGAATTCTTGATGAGATTGCTCCTTACCCTCTTCATGATTCAGAGTTTGAGTTTCTTCCTTAGCTTCTTCATGATTCGGAGTTTGGGTTTCTTCCTTAGCCTCTTCATGATTCGGAGTTTGGGTTTCTTCCTTAGCCTCTTCATGATTCGGAGTTTGGGTTTCTTCCAGATCTTTGTTTAATAATTCCTTTGTCTCTTCTTGATTCGGAGTATGTGATTCTTCCAGATCACTGTTTGGCAATTCCTTTGCCTCTATTTGATTAGTAGTATGTAATTCCTCCAGATCATTCTTTGAAAATTTCTCAGCCTCTACTTGATATACACGTGAATCCTCCATATCATTGTCCCCGTAAATTTTAGCCAACTCCTGAGAATCCTCAGCTGGGGTCTCCATCATATCACTAGAAGCAGAGGCATAGCTTTCTGTCAAACTGTCTATATTTTCTTTCAGTTGATCAAAATTTTGATTTTGACCAAGAACGTCTTGGAATTCTTGCTCAGATTCAATGATCATCATATCCTCAGAGTCATCAGAACAATTCGAAGAAGGTGGTGAGTTATCCTCAGGCTCCCCTTGATTTGACATTCTCAAGTTCCATTGAAACCCACTATTAAAATCTGTGGGTGTATAACCAATGTCACAAGCATCAGAAGTTATTTCATTCATTTGCGGAAGTTCAGTTTGGCCCAAAGTGGAGGGGTCAAGATGCTCAACATCTCCTACTTCCTCCTGAAAAAGAGCACACAAAATTAATTCCAGAAAAATCATAATTTAACCCAAGGAGAAAAGCTCTCTTATATCAAAAGAGGACTATAATGGGACCTTGTGGTATTTGGCATATAGAGAACTGCATCAATTACATAAAAGACAAGAGGAAGGAAAAGAGGAAACAAATGCAACAAGCTTGGATTACACATTGAAATAGAAACTTCAAGAGGTGTAACAGTTAAAACATTTCAGGTTGATAGAGTATGTGCCCCACAAGAAGTCAACCGAATAACAAAAATTAGCCAACTTTATGGTAGGGGGAAATGACATTGAGGCAAGAAGCCCTCAGTATTGAGATTCCCATATGCTGCTCCTCTCTCTCTATAAAAACATATTTTAAACCATAGATGACCTAGTTACATGCAACCTACAATGACTCACCTTGATTGTTGGCATTGGACATCCAGGCCGCCCAAATGAAGCTCCTTGATCATAATGACACTGTTCAAAAAGCTCTCTCATACCTATACGGGCTATGCTTGAGGCATCGCTGCACTCAGGAGTCCTATATAGCGAGGGCATATCCAGCAGACCCATTTCCATCCCCAGAACAGGTTGGGAGTGCAAAGAATTCACAGGTTTCAATGGGCTCCTCTCTGAAATAAACTCTATGCCATTGTCATTCTCCTTATTTTCTGGTAATGCTGTGGGTTGTGACCCTTGGGAGTCATGATTACAAGTTGTAGCATTGTCCAACGGCCGATTTTCAAGGAGTTCATGGATCAATTTCTGGATACGAACACGCTTAAGAGAAGCTTCAGCAGGCATAAACCAATCCGGCTTAAGCTGCAAAGTTTAAGCATGCTATCCATCAAAATTCAAATATGCAAAAATAAACATCCAATCATTACCTGTTTATTTATGAGGCTGCATTATAAAAGCCAGCCAACGCAGCAACTATACCCTATACGAGATCTTATTTGTCTACTGCTTTGAATTCAATGTAATATAGTAATCTTCCTCCGTTATTTTTTAATCACAACTTGGAGATTTTACACTATTACACACTCCTTTGTCCGTCTTTAGTGATTTATATATAGGAAAACAGTCATATGGGATCTTGACCACCTTGTTAGATTCGTCTCGAAATATACTTTCAAAATATTAATTTTTATTTTTTACAAAAATATAATTAAACATATTAGTGATATAAAATGCGCACGAGCAAGCATGACAACTCAAACATTGAGATTAAAAAAGATTGGAGGAAGCATAATTTTTTAAAATGAAATATGTACTAGTACAATTAAAATAACAATGCAACACATTTTTAATTCATGTCCATAAGGTCCCTCAAAAAAAAAAAAAAAAAAAAAAAAAAGAAAAAAAAAAAAAAGAGGTCCATGAGGCATAAGCTTGTAATTCAGGAGAGATAAAACAAAATGAAGTATTTATCAGGTAACAGGAAATATACAATCATTAAGCTGTAATTAAAAAACAAGCACTGAAAAGAGTAGCAAGTCACAAGATTCTTAGCTACAATTGTTTACAAGAAACAAGTGCCATGCCACTGATTCTATTTTCAATGAGAAACTGGACACTACGAATACTTGTAAGTGAGGAGTACTGGAGAACAAGCACATAGCAGATATCAATACATTTCATCACAAGAGAAGCCATATGATAAGCAAACACAAACTCTACTATCAAATACCTGCATCTACTGAATCTGATCACAAATTACAAAATAGAAGGTAAGATCTGTAGAAACAGAGTACTCACAAAATTCTCAAACTTATTGATCTGGAAAGGACTGAAATTATGAGGTGCTTCGGCTATAAAGAGTTCTGCATAATGAAGCAGGAAAAGGCCGCAATCAGAACAGTTTTCCTGCTGTGGAAGCTGCCATGGAAAGGAAAAAAGTCAGGCTTCATTTAATGTATACAATAGTTTTCCTTTGTTTCCTACAAGAAAACTTATCGAGGAAGAGGAAAGGGCAGTTTAAGGGAGGAGGGAAGTGGGGAGGAAAATAAGGCGTCCCTTCACTTCCTTTCATAAGGAATAAGTTTTCCACTCTCAGGAAAATTATTTTCCACCCTTTACAAACTAAGCAACAGGAAATAAAAATTTCATTTTCTGGACAATGTTATCCATCAAAAAGACGGAGACTCAAGGCAAGAATGAACAGTTCATACATTCCATCCATAAGAAAAGAGTGGGTAAAAGGTAAATTTAATAATAATTTTTTCAAAGCAGGATATCAACTTGTATAATATCGATAACTGTATGAAAGAGGAATAAATTACACGACAATTTACTGCAATCCTTCAATTCAAAACCAATAAGCTTAAAGCATTTCATATATTCTTACATGATGCACCTAAACAATAAAGATAATAAATCACCAACCCTCTACAATAAAAAAATATATCTGTTGTATCATGATGACTTGGGAAGACCTTCATCCATAAACAATCAAGATAAAGGATGTCATGTCGCAACATACAGCTCTGAAATCCATGCTACCCATGGATGTCGAAAGGAGCAGTATGAAACCCATGCTACTGAAATCAATCATCCCACAATTAATTGCCAGTGCCAACCATAAACTATATATAAGCAGCCTAGACCTATATAAATGAAATTGTATGCCCACTAAAACTATGATTCCAGTTTTGTTGCCTGAGCCTATTAAGGCACCATGATAGATTTTACATGACATAATCTAACCTAACTTGGTCAATAGTTTTAATATTAAAAGAAAATTCAAGCAAATATTACAACATAAACAACAAACTATATAGTAAACTGGATATCCAGCCTACAAAAATACAAGAACTAGTATCTAGTCAGTATGCGTAAGAAATAGGAAAATTTGTCAAAAAAAAAAAAAACCTTTCAAATGCACCATTTTGCATTTTGCGGAAGAAAAAAAAACCTTTTAAAAGCTTTATCGTAAAAGAAAACCCGAAGTTTTTTTTTTTTTTTTTTTTTGTTCAACACAACCTGTACCTCTAATTCACTTAATTAATTCTAATTTCTTCTAATTAGCCTTTAACTCTCACTTAACCATATCATAATTAAATTAATTTACTACATCCGTCTCGTATTAGTTGCAACTTTGGGGTATTATTTGTGAGATATAAAATACTCCAAAGTTGCAACTAATATGAGACGGAGGTAGTATTTTTTTTATATAAAAAAAAAAAGCAAAAACCACCACCTCAACCACCAGCCAACCGCCTCTCCCTTTCCCCCTCCCCTGACTGCAGCCCCCTCCCTTGACTGAGCCGCGCCACCTTGAACCCCCTACCCCGGAGACTCACCTCTACCGCCGGCTGAGACTGCCACATCCCAAAAACCAGAGACCTCAAAAACACTTAACAATAGTGTCCAATAAGCTTCCATCAACATTTTCTCTCTCCTCTTTCTCTTCACTTTCTCTCTCCTCATTTCTACAATGGCGTCTTCTTACTTGCTTCATCCCACCATTGCAATACCCCTCAAACATTCAAATCACCCACTTCTTCATTCCAAGATCTTCCTCAAAACCCAAACAACAACCATTTATGTTAAGGGTTTCCGAATTCGAGCTTCTGATGGGAGTAACAATGGCGATTCTTACCTTAATGTGAAAGAAAGCTGTTAATCAAGAGAAAATGTAGATTGAGTTTAATATGATTGCCCAGAATTTGCCCCCTGTTGAGGAAACCCCAGATGTTTTGGAGAGGAAGAGTAGTGAGTTCCAGAAGATTATGGAAATTTCTAAAGAGGAGAGAGATAGAGTTCAGAGGATGCAGGTTATTAATCGTGCTGCTGCCGCTCTTTCTGCTGCTCGTGTTCTTCTTAAGGATAAGAAGGCTGCTGCCATTGCAGAAGCTGTCCGTTCGAGCGCTGCCAAGGGATGGAGTCATGGAGAAAGGGAGGGGGTGGCTGGCCGGTGATAGGGGTGGTGGTTTTTGTTTTTCTGTTTTTATTTATAAATTTATTTAATTATTAAATTGTTAAGTGAGAGTTAGAGTTTAATTAGAAGAAATTAGGTGTTAATTAAGATAATTAAAGGCATTAGGTTGTATTAAACAAAAAATTTCACAATCGGGTTTTCTTTTGCCAAAATGTTAAAAGTCCGGTTTCCTTTTTGAGAGATTGTTATATACACCCGGGTGCACGGTACACCCAAGGGTATTTGTTTGTTCATTTGACGATAAAATGAGCAATAATCATCAAAATGAGCAAAAAAATACTTTTGGTTGCACCGTGCACCCGGGTGTATAAAACAATTTCTAGCCAAAAAGCTTTTAAAAGGTTTTTTTTTCGCAAAATGGTGCATTTAAAAGATTTTTTTAACAAATTTTCCTAAGAAATATACCTCAAGTGACAGAAATCGAAGATTTAAAAATTTCGAAACTACATCTTCAGAAGTCTCTTTTTGCTTCTCTTTCCACTCTTCTGAGAGGTAGCTGCCATTTCAACAAAAATAAAGTTTGAAACCCAATTAATTAATAAAAGAAAAAAAAAAATATTCAATAGCAACCATAATGATACACCAAAGCAGCTAACAAGCTCTTCCCACCAAGACACAGGTTCTATGAAACATACTTTCCACTTTGCCAAAATAGCACGACAGACACCAACATAGTGGGAAGGGAGCAAGGCAAGGATGAAAAAATTCAAGTACACAGGAGCACACAACTTTCAGCACTACAGTGGGCAGAGAGCAGATCACTATAGTAAGCCTGCCTGAAGGACCATCAGTGTACTGTTTCAAAGAAAATATGTTGATGATCCTAATAGAAGGACATACCTTTGAATGAGATCCTTTAACCCTGCATGACTTCCTCTGATAGAGTCCATATGCAATATACAAGGAACCTTCACAGATTCATCAACATTCTCATCTGAAATCAAGGGACCTTACGGTATCAATGTCAGTTTTAGTTTTTGGCACGAAGATATAAAAAAGCATAAGTTACAGCTTCTATGATAAATTTAAAATAGTCCTACTTAAATTACTCATGCAGAAACTGAAGTCTGACAGGTGACAGCTACAAAAAAAAAAAAACTCTTTATTATTATTTTTTTCTCTTGAAAATGAAGTATCATAAAAAGAGCACCTACCATTGAAGTTAGCAACTTCACCAGGATGGCATACAACAATCAAACTCCAGTGAAGACTGATGTTACAAACAAACAGAAAAGTAAGTGTCCACACACATCACGTAACCATAATTCCATAAATGAACTTAAAGCATACAAAGCTGATTTCTTACTTATAATTAACCGGAATAAAAATGTAATCCTTCTCAAATATGTTCACTTTCCTTGTCCATTTCCGAACACGTTGATAACCAGCCTTGCCATCAAAAACACCTGATGGGTTTTTGTCTGGATCAGCCAGCTTGCGGAAAAAGAAGCAATTAAAAAAGTGAAATCTGCCTCTTTCTGTGGAAGCAATTTCATTCTCTAAATACCTGTTCAAGGGCAAAAAATTGTGAGCAAATGTACAAAATGAAAAAAAACCTAATAATCCTTAAATGAAGAGTCTAAGATTACATCAGATGATCAGAATAACTAGATATTGCCTGCTACAAGTGCTACCATTATGCATAATAGATAATACTTTAGCCAACAGATAAAAAAAATTTGGCAAAAACGCCATTTATTCTAAAAGCCATATTTTTAAACAGTTCAATTAATTCAATTTATACAACAGTTTAGGTAAAGAAATTTCTTTTCTGTTTTTTCTCTGTTTTAAAATTATAGGTAAAGAAAAAAAATTGAGCATATGAAAGTAGCTTTGAGCAAACCATCTCCATAGCTCTTGTCTCTCCACAGCAAGCAAGCAAAGAGCCGACGAGACTAACTTGAAATACTTTAAAGAGGCAGACAAGTATGCTAAATATGTAATCCATACATATGATCATCTTTTATATTCATATTTTATTTTTGAAAAAAATAATACAGATAAATATTGACAGTTATATTTTATATAAGTTACATAAAAAGTCAGATAGTCATTATCAAACACTTTTGAATATCATATTATTTCAAAGTTGTTAAGAATGGATATGAATATAATAATGCTAATTTCAGAAACTCAATCCATTATCAGCCATAACAAGACACACAAAATCTCCAAAACTTACAAACACCAACTAAAAGCCAAGATAAGAAGCAATTATCCTAAAAAAAATAATAAAAAAAAAAGTTAAATCCTTCAATAGTGACAACTCAAAGAAATAAGCCAACCTATTCAAAAAAAGGATGCAAATATTGAAATAAATCACCCCTAAGTAAGTGATCAATTCCCATAACCGACATGAACTAAGAAAAAAAAAGGTACACCACCCTTCAAGGCTTAAATGCATTCTCACAACACCCTCCACCATAATTTATCCAAATAAGCATCAAAGGATCTTTAGTTTACACTAACCTTATTTAGACCATAATAGAACAAATCAAAATTCTTGTTACATGTATTAATATAATACACCCTGCCTTGGCCGTATCTTCTTTTAGGCCATTGTATGATGATGGTATTTTCATATGTCAACAAGTACTAATTAGGTATATTTCCCCTATAATGGAACTTCAATTCAGGTTCAAGGCCTTCAAGATAAATTAAATCCATTCAATTAAAAGGGTACTACTGCATGATGAAAATTTAGTTAAGGGGGATTTCAAAGCTCATTCAAATACCATCTCGTTCTTCTATGAAAATAACCAACAAGGAAGAACTTATCCGCAAAGCATTTTAATACAAAGGGGAGTTCTTCCTTTATGGGGGTTATTGTCACTGGGTAGTTGGGATGAGACTCATGGTTGAGGTGTCGATGGTTTGTTTAGCATTGTAAGGAAAAGCAAGTATCTCGTTTACAAAATTGAGTCCAATTGAGAAGTCTAGTGTTGAAAATCGAATAATAAATGAGTAATTGTTTAGATAATAGAGAGGGGTGGCGTTGACTATACATTTATGGGCTAAGAGGTAGTTTGTAATTTTTAGTTAGGAGTAGTTATGACTTCTATGAGTATAGAGCACTTAAGAGCGTTAATGATTCAAAATCCTAAAAGCAAAATCAAATTGACCTTATAGAGTTTAGAAGAATTTAGAGGTACAATTACCAACTCAAATATTACAACAACAAAGCCTTAGTCCCAAAATGATTTAGGGTCGACTAACATGAATTGTCATAAGAAACCGCCAGACAAAGAAAAAAAGACAGAACAAGATAGCCAGCTGCAGTAGTTTGGAAAAAAAAAAAAAGGCAAGTAAAGTGAGAAAAAGAAAGATCATCCAAGTAAAATTTAAGAGAGATTTAAAAGAGTATCAATAATAAAATTTAAGAAAGTTTTGAAGGGAGTGAAGAATTTAGAGGTCAATCACCAACTCTAACCTTTAAAAATAAAATATACAACACAATATCCATGGAGCATACTTACTTAATATAGAAATCAATTATTGTATCATTAAGGAAAGTATCAGGCTCCAATAAATCCACATCTCTTTTACTGATTACAACCGCATCTACAGCACCTTTGGGGTAGACAACCTCTTCAAAAGGCTCCTCGAAACTGTAATAAATTTAAAAACATAAATAAAAATTAATTTTATAATGTGCCTCGAAAAAATGACAGATAATCTATATCAACCCTTTTCAACAATTTCACTTACTTGGGAAGATACGAATCAGAAGAAGACTCACAGTTCTCTAAAGGATTTGTACCTCCTTCGCAAATTTTGCCACTATATACAAAACCATTTAAACATCAAAGGACATAGATAACAGAGCAAAATGCTGTCAATAGAATCAGCAAAGATATAAAGATCATAATCGCATAGCATAATTCAAAACACTAACTTGTACTACGCAATAATTAGATCGGCATACTCCCTCTTTTACTTCCATTTTAGAGTAGACTCTTGTTCCTAGGAAAGATGAGTGGGTTTAAGAAAAAGGTGGACTAAGTAAGAAAAATAAAATAAATAAGGTGGGTAGCTCATAGGTGTTAAGGAAAAAAGTGAATAAAGTGGGTGGGTGAAAAGGGTGTAAATATTGTGAAGGGGGCTATGGTAGCAATATGAGTTTTCCACATATAGATTAATGCAGAAGTAGGTACATCAAAAATAAATTTATTTTTTTTTTAACAAAAAAAAAGAGTACCAAGGTTCAAAATCCATGACCAGTGTAAGCCAATATGACTTTCACAGCCTTGAGATGTCCAGTATTAAAAGGATTCAAATTAAAACAAATACGAGACAATGCAAACAAAACTTTACCCCTATATCTCCTGTTATATCATTGCAGTCAACCTACTTAAAAACTTGTTAGAATGGTATCTGTTCGACCCAGCCAGCTAAAATTGGGCCAAACAAACAACCAACAGAGGGCAGCACAAATGAGCAGACTGTTTTAAGAAACCTAAGCAAAATGGTATCTCAGTGTATGAGAATAAAAGAAAGAAATAACAGAGTGCCACTCAGCCTTCTACCTTCACCTATCCAAAGATTCTATCCAACCCTTCTAAAGCAATTAGACAACATATAACTTTACTACAGACAGATGGTTCCCATAAATCAAATCAGATACTCACTTCAGCCCAAGGTTCCAGAGAGCCTGGTACCTAGTATCAAGTGTCATGATCCACTCTTGTCTCTGGAGCCATTCAGGATCATGAACCAAGAATTCCAATACTTCAATGCCTGCACATCGTACAAGAGTATTGATAAGCAATCACTTGCAAGATCCAAAGACACCCCCAAACTCTCAATCTTATCAATGCTTTTAAAGATTTTAAAACAAATTGGTTGCAGATACCTATTACAATGTACTGGTCAATTACCTAAGAACTGAAATTAAGAAGTACAGCTACAAAACACAAGTTTCACATATATCCTGAATAAAAAAAAAAAAAAATTCCTTCTCTTCCAAAATATTCTAATTGGTTAATGTAGACTCCTATTCCTATGAAAGTTTGAAAAAGGTGAGTATATAAAAAGCTGGATAAAGTAACAGAGAGTGAGGGGAAAGGTGCCAAACTGCCAAAATTGTGGTGTCGTGAAAAAGGATGGGTAATATGTAGTAAGAGCAATTCCATTCGAGTTCAATTCGAATCTGACCGATCCGAAGAAAAAATTCCGATCCAAATCTGTTTAATAGTAGTCCAAATCCAAAAAGTATATGAGGCGGATCGGACTTGAACTCTACGCAAAGTCCGACCGAGTCTGAGTATGAGGATATGCTTTATAATTTGGGACAATTGCATGCTTTTTTGTGGAAAATTTTTGTTATGTAACTTAATTCATAATTTAAATATGTTATGTTTAGACTTTATACCCAAAGTTTTTTCTAATTTTTTACACAACAATATTATATTAAAGTTTGTTAAGGAAAACCCTAGCAATTACAGATATATCATACATATATACATATAAAAATAAAAAAAAAAACAAAAAAGGTAGTCGGATCATTCGAAAGTCCGAATAAAAGGATTGGATTCGGCTCCTATAAAATACAAGTCGGATCAAACTCAGACTTTTCGGATTCGTATCCGATTACAAGGTCTGTTTACTAAACAGATCAAATTCAGATTTAGCCGTATCCAACACCAATCCGATCCGTTGTCATTCCTAGTAATATGGGGTTGAGTAGGATATTATGAAACATTCAAAACAAAAAGTGAGTTAAACATTTGGGAACAAAATGAATAAATAATAAACCATGTAACATCTTAAAGAGACTTGCCATGTTATATTCATCCTGAAAATGAGTTTCAATTCAATTATGTTTCCAAAAAAAAAAAAAGGTTCATACAAAAATGTTAACTTTAGAAAACCCTTTTTTTTTTTTTTGGGGGGGGGGGTGTGGGGCATTCTACAAAAAATCAATTCTATTTCCCCAAACCTAGGATAATATTACCCTGATGTTTCTTTGTCAGACACCCCAGCCCTACTTAGGAAATTGAATTCCCTTGTTTGATAAAGCAACAAAAGATACAAGTACAACAACACAATTAAGTAAAAGCAAATCTTATCAAACGGAAAAGTCAAAGCAAAAGATAAATAAAACAGCAATCGAGCAAAGCATCATCCTCAAGGCCATCACTCCTTTCCCAACACCAATTCACTAACCATCGTAATAACCATTGAACTACCCCAATCATTATACTGTTTATGGGATCACTCGCCATACTTCAACAGCCATAGGTGGCAGTGGCAGTGGCACTTTGAGATTTGGGCAACGCTGACAGTACTGATCCAAGCCAGAGGCAGTAGATCAGCCAAAAATCAACCATAGAAAGGTAGTTCTACCAAAACAACCATCCTCAACAACCATAATAACCACAAAGAAAGTAACAAATTGAGCATCTACAGCTTCTACAATGAGATGCTAGAAGCACTGCTTTGGTGGTAAGAAATAACTGAGTTCAAAATCAACCATAAGTAGATTTGATTAATCAAATCCCTATTACCAAATAGGGGCATTGTGGCAGAGAGTGCCTATGACCACGATGAAGACAGAATGGTGACGAATAATAATTGTTGATCATCACTATGAGAGGTGAAGTAGGAAGAGGTAACATTTGGCAATAATAAGGCCATAAGGGTTATAACCAAAAGACATGTCATCAAACAGCCTTTAAAATTCAAAACAAACCTGTCATGCCATGTGCATTTTCTGCTTCTACTGCATCCCTTGTGAAAAGGTAGACTTTCACTTTAGCAGTACAAGCCTGAAATAAATACCATACATGTGAGCTACATGACTATCGCATGACAGGCAAATGTTAACAATAAATTCATAATAGAAAAGACAAAAGAGATAATTGACATACAACGTTACTCCACTGTGACTCAATTTTTAAAATCTCATCCAGTCTCCATTCGGACCTAGATGCCTCAGATTCCTCTTCTAAGGTTGACATCTCAATTTTGATTGAGGTTTTGGAAAACAATATATGGCAGCCAGGAAAATATTTATCACCGTAGGAGACATAATCAGTATAAACAGCTCCCATATCCATATCCATATCCATATCCATATCCCCCTGAAATATATGCACATTATTGTCAGCATAAACATTGTGTAGCAGACATTTTCTTCTCGATAACACCACTAATAATAAGTCAAATACACAAATAAATTTAAAGAAGGCTTATGTCTACAAGGACATGCCTGAAAAAAAATTATAAAAAGAACAGTAGAGTAATTACCATATACCAACCACTATCTAATTGATCCTCAGCTGGTCCATCTACTGAGAAAAAAAAAGAGAGAGAGAGAGTAATGAGTTTTATTTGATAAGTCCAGCTTTGCCAGCAATCAAATTTGGGAGAGAGGAGGGAAGCTAAACACACACACACGCAAAAAAAAAAAAAAAAAAAAAAAAAAAAAAAAAAAAAAAAAAAAAAAAAGAAAAGAAAGAAAGTTATACCATAATCCTCTTCCTGCTCATAACCAGAAGTGGAAGGACAGCTCTCTTGAATACTATCACAAGTTTCTGATGCCTCGGCATCAGCTGAACCATTCTGCGAAATTCCCATGCAAAGTGAAATTGTGCTCAAACCAAAAACATTAAATAAAAAAAATGATACAAGGAAAATAACAGCATACACTGCATGGTGAATCTGGGATGGAATCACTGATATGACCATTTCCAGATGGAAGTCCGGCAGGACAGGAGATCCTTATCTCCATGTCCAAAGACGAACATTCGGGTTTTACACTATCTCCAGTAAAATGACAGTGCTTTTGCAAGATTCTGTCTGATACAGCACCAAAAACCTCAGCTTGTGGAGAAGCAGCTTTATCCGATTCACTTTCAGGGCGACCAGAAACATCATTGACAAGACCACGATCATCGTCATCAATTGCAACAACATGAATTTGTTTCACATTACGAATTTCTTTCATGCTGCGAATTTCTTTCATCTGAGCAATGGACCCAGAAGAAGCTAATGACAAAGAAGGCAGTCAAATTCATCAATTATCTTACTGAATACAGGCCTGAACATTTACAAGAAAATTTAGCTAGTCCTCTTGCAAAAACATGATGAGAAAGGGCATCAAAATGCAACATAAGCATATGAGATTTTGTGAATGGAGATTGAACACAAACTCGAAGTTAAAAAAAAAAAAAAAAAATGAGTCAAGAAAATACTAAAGCTGATGCCATAAGCCTTTGTTCAACAAGATCCAACTTATCTTAACATAAATTTTTTCAATTTACTCCTGGCATGCAGTAAAACTTACACTGTCACAAATCACAGTGATACACTTCACTCTGATTAAGTTTAAACAGGCAAGGAAGAATGGAAGTTGTTGGGACCTGAGGTATCTTGTATTTGTGCTAAACTGCAAATGAAACCCAGAAACAGCGAGCATTCTTGTTTCCAAAAAAACGAGGGTTTTGTGCTACATAGTAAACATGTACAACAACAACAACAACAACAACAAAGCTTGGTCCAAAAATGATTTGAGGTTGGCTAAAATAAATCATGACGAGGAAGTGTACGCAAAAAGTGAAACAATAAAGGTAAACAAAGAAAAGTGATTAGATGAAAGTGCCGGAAAACGAGAGAAACATAATGAGCAAGATAACAAAGGAGGTTAAAGTGGAAACCCAAAAATGAGGACATACAAAAATAATTTGGGGAAGCCTTAAAAAATAGGGCAAAGAGAAGATAAAGAGAAAAAACAAGTGACAAAAATCATATCATAGGTTTGTGAAAACCTTAAGAATTTGCAATATATATATATATATATATATACAGAGAGAGAGAGAGAGAGAGAGAGAGAGAGAGAAAGAGTTATATTATGTCCACTAAGTAGACTTTTTTCCCTCCAAAGCCATAATTTCCTAATTCCCTCATAGACTCAAAAATCCCAATCACCCTCTTCCAAGTTAGATAACAAAGGAGGTTAAAGTGGAAACCCAAACACGAGGACATACAAAAATAATTTGAGGAAGCCTTAAAAAATAGGGCAAAGAGAAGATAAAGAGAAAAAACATGTGACAAAAATCATAGCATAGGTTTGAGAAAACCTTAAGAATTTGCAAACACAATGAGTTATAGTTATATAGTTATAGTTATATTGTGTCCACTAAGTAGATTTTTTTCCCTCCAAAGCCATAAGTTCCTAATTCCCTCAAAGACTCAAAAATCCCAATCACCCTCTTCCAAGTTTTTTATGTCGACCCCTAGCCCTTTCCAATCCCATCACTTTGTCACTTTTCAAGCCTCCTAACTGGTGCATCACAAAATCTCCATGTTACATGACCATACCACCTTAGGCTATTCTCCCTCATCTTGTTTTCAGTATACGTAACCCCCAAAATTCTTCATAACCACACATCCAACGCAGCTTACGCAACTCCGTCACATTCATCTTATAAACATGACAATACTTCGTTACCCAATTCATACTTCAAAGGTTTCCCTTCAATTTAATTCAGCCTTGTAGCCCTATTCTTATTTAGCTATCCTGCTTTGTATCTATATGTCATATCTCCATCCAACTCCTCATGCCTTTCAACTTCTAACTCCACTAAGCTTACACACCATATATTCCTTCTGATTTGTGCTCCATCCAAATCCTCGAGATTCTCACTTTTCTTTTCCTCTCAATCCACTATCAGATTATTCATTTTCACATTTAAGAAATAACCTTAGTAATTGTGCGATTTGTGCCAAAACCAACTCTGAAATATAGTAAGCGACAGAGGGAGTTTCAATTTTTTTAAAAAAAAATAAATACTAATAACAAATTGAATGACAATAATAATTATAAAACAAATATACTAATAAGGAGGCTAAAGCAAAGAAATAAAATACGGCTAAAAATAAATTCACAAATGAACACGGTCAAGGAGCCCTCCTCACAAATCTTGAAGTTACAAAGCTTCTTATTACAGTCGTATGCCTTGATGAGATTTAGATGGGGTAAAAGTCTAATGGTTACCTATTTTTCTTCTCCAATTCCTCAATTTTCCTCCTAATCTTTATCAAGATGCCTCCTTTTATTGTAAACAACACATCTAAACCCCTCACTTTTTGTGCCTCAAATTCTATAGGGGTTAATACCCACTTTTTTTTCAATTACTACTCTTTGTAATGCTTCATTATATTTGGCACCATCAAATATATCTTGCTTGGAGAAAACCCTAAACCACAAAGCAGAGTAGCCCTAAACATCCACATTTATGTTGTTAAACTTGATCTGAAATGGAATCTACTTGTCACATAAACACAAGACATTCCTTGAAAACTATCAGTCCATCACCCAGCATACAACAGTAATCTCCTCATTTACATCAACATTAACCTTGAAAAAACCTACATTACCCAACTTGTAAACAATCCTGATCCCAACATTGTTAGAAATCCTATCACAACTGCAAGCCTACAAAGCATCTCTACAAGGACCACAAAACTCTTTTCCCAGAAGAAAGGCATTAAAACCAAGGGGCTTTATACGTTCTAGTAAAAATAAGGGCTATCAGGCCAATCACCCTTCCACATATTCTCCCAATTGCACCTACAACGCCATCTACATCCAATAAAAAAATACAATTTTTTTTCGTTTTCCTTCCTCTCACCAACCCAAACAAAAGCATGTTGCATCACATTGCGTGCTAGAACCCAACATGGATACTGAAAGTATAAACAAAATACAATTTTGGGATGACCATGTCTGCCCAAGTGATCACTCACATCTCCAAACTAGAACAGCCATACCTCACATCCAAATTCTTTAGGAGCATTTTCAATACCAAGCCCCACAAAGCACCCAATCAAAACAAACTATACTTAACACAATGCTAATAACCTTAACTTAATTGATGAAATTCTAGGAAAGCAAGACCTATACTACCTAAAACCTCGGATCAAATCCCGTCTACATTAATCCCTCACACAGAAACCTCAATACCAAAAACAAATCAAATGCCAATAACTACAGCTTATTTTTCCAACCAAATAACAAACTTGCAAATAATTGAACAAATTTAAACACCCAAAAATTCATACCAGCTTAAAATTAACATAAATTAAGACTAAACAAATCAAAAAGGAAAGATTAGGAACCGAAATAGAAAGAAAAGGTGATGAAAATTACCGTGTTGGAGGGATTGATACTTAGTCATCGCATCACCATCAACATCGAATTTAGGGTTTGAGAGTTTAGACCAATGATTAAGAGTTTCGGGCAATTCGTCTTCATCCTTGAAATCATAGATGCTCAAATCTCTTTCCTTCATATTTGCATAGAAATTTGCAGGATTCAGGAACCCTAATTGACGACGAAGTTGAGAGGTTTAGCGAGGAGAGAGAAGAGTGAGTTGACTACGGTTGTCTGGATTTGCGAAAAGACGATCATTTGCACGAAACGTTTCGTTTGGGTATTTATAGGTGGAGTGAAGTGAAAATATTGCAAAATAAATTTAAATTAATTAAGTTAAATTCTATCTCACCTACCCTTCTAAAGGAAGCATTAATTTGCCTATTTGGTTTACGGAGTATGAGTAGCTTAATTAATTAAAGTGTTATCGAGTACTTCCTCTGTTTTTAAACACCAACACCTTCAACAATAGACATAGACATGGTCGGCAAAATATAGTTGTGATTGTAGCAGTAAACGGATTAAGTAACTGTTAACTATCAACAAACTGTAAATTGTGAACCTGTGAAAATAGATATTTATACTATAAATTTTTAACAAACTGTCAACAACTGCTTTTATGTTTCAACAGCTACCATTATCATACCAGACGCTCAAATTTTCTATTGATTCAAACCACTCTAAAGTTTTTGCCAAACACGCCCTATAACTTGTGCGTAGTTTTGAAAATGTATATGTATCTCCCTCATTCGACGATTCTTGGATTTGGAAAATATCCTTCAGTTTCGTCCTCTCCTGATTAGAGGTCGTCGTTGAAAGGTTGGTAATGCCTCTTCTATCCTCTATTGGGTTGATATTTGGTGTGCTGCAAACGACCTTAATGTTATGTTAAATTTGGATCTTGAACTAATCTCGAATATTGATATTACTATGGATATGTTAATTCGAGATGATAATTCTTGGGATGTTCTTCTTCTTCGTTGTGTCCTTTTTACCCTATACCTGATGAAACTTGTTGGGGTCTCTCTAAACATGGTCGATTTATGTTAAATATGCTACATTAGGGTTGACTCACAATCTAACTACGTCTTCCCCTAAATGGGAGTTTCACTAGTTATGGAATTTAGATATCCTGCCCAATATTAAGATTTTTTTTATGGCAACTCTTCTATAATAGTCTTTCTATTAGACACACTCTAACCTCTAGGAATATTGAAATTCCTTCCTTTTGTGCTTTTGTAATGCTCACCTTGAGTCTATTCTTTCATTGACATTTCGCTTTTGCGCTCTAGACTTCTCCTTCGATGCATCATTGGATTGGGGTCATACCCCCCCCCCCCTCAACTACTAGATTTCTTTCGTAAAATCAAAGTTCACTCTTCCCATCTTTGATCTCCTTAAGGTTGTTATCTTTCTTTGGAGTATTTGGAAATGTCATAATGCAATTATTTGTAAGAACTCGTCGTCTTGTCTATATTCATGCATTCTCTCCTTTTAAGGAATGGTATACGCTCATTCTTTTTTAGACTCTTTTCACCAACCTAATGATTTGTTCTACTCACAAACTCTTCATCCAACTTCCACCACTGTTACTTAGTCCCCCACTCCCTTTCCGTCCGATTAGCTTTGTAGACTTAATTTTGATGGTTCTACTACACAGAATTCAGCCTTAGCTAGAGTAGTGCAAGGATCATTTAAGGAATCATATTGCTAGTCGTTCTTACAACTAGGGTTTTTGCCAGTTTTTCTTGCTGAGGCTATTGCCCTCCATAATGGTCTTCGATCTTTTGGCCAAAGACCATTTTCTCATTAAAGGGGATAATCTATTTGTCATTAATATTTTGCAAGGACATCTCACTTTAGTTGTACTTGGAAACTTCACGTCCTGTTGGCGGATATTGAGACTATTATGGAATCTTTTCGGGCTTTCAAGTCTCAACATATTTTTGGGAAGGAAATCGGGCTACAAATTATGTTGCCTCATTTATTGGATACTCTATTCCGATTCATCTAGATATCGACCCCTTTTATGGTCAACAAGTTTTCTTATTTTTTTACTCCTTGATAAATTAGGTCACAATCTTGTAAGAATCCGACCCCATGATTATGTTAGCCAAATCTCTCTATTGTTGAATAGATCGATTTCTTACCATTGAATTCCCCGGCTCAATTGTCTCTTCTCCAATTCCCTTTCTTCCTAATTCGTTATCTAAATGAAAGATACTTCATCCCTTACCCTCCTTTCCCTGTAGCTATTTCCTTTCTTCCTTCCTAATTCGTTATCCAAATCAAATACCTCAAACTTAGAAATGCCCTAATATATTATTAGATTTCAACCATTAATTCTTGATTATTTATACATATTGCGTAGTAATTACACGCATAAATTAAATGTAGGGGGCTATAAGCTAAGCCAATTATAGGAAAAACAAAGAGTTAAAAGGGTAGCTATAACGTACAAGGTTGTATATGCTATGGGTGCATTCCTGAAAAATAGTTTTTGTATTTCAAAAGTCTTTTCTAGACACTGTTTCTAAAGAAATTTTGAGGAGTTTACAAACATATTTTTACAAGGGTTTATGATAAATAAAAATTGCACTTGCATTGGTTAGAAATCATAAATTATAGAACATGATGAGTGAGAGCACAAACAAACACTTCATACACAATATACATATGTACATTAAAAAAAAAACAAAAAAAAAACACCCTTTTAGGTTGAGAAGATGGGTAAGGCCATTGAGGCATATCATGCTACACCATATAGAAATACAAGTTTCATTAAAGTAATAATTCAATACATTGAGCAAAATAGTCCATAACTCTGTATTGTTAGATAATCATAATCTAAATCCCTTTTTGGATCGAATGAATCTCATAATATAAATAAACTAAATGTAATTGAAAAAGAGTAAATTGAACTGATAAATTGAACCACAAGAACACGTCCTTATATATGTTTATAAAGGTTACAAATTTACAATAACACAAAAATCCAGAACTTCAAGGATCACAAATATACACCTCTTATAAATCTAGAAAACCGACCTAATACATTTTTATTTTTGGAGAGAACCTAATACATTGACTTAGTGTACAGTATTTTCTATAAGATCAGACACCCAACGTAATAAGGCCCAAATTCTTTGGAATAATAATGCATGATCATTCATACTAAGGTTCAAAATGGATGAAATCAACTGGTTTCAGAATTTCTAATAGTCATAAAATATTACCTTAATTACACAGTACAATTAAGTACACTTAATCTACTATCTCCACACATTAACATAGGCATGCAAATTGCAGAAACTGGCTATAAAATACACCAAGCCAAACACTGCTTATTTGGGTCTAATAATATTAGTGCAAACTTTGACCTTTCACTTAGGTTCTCCAGCAGCTCTTCAAAATAGGCATAGCCTGCAAGAGAAAATCACTATTAAGCATAGTTTTCTATTAACAATGATTAGTTCGTCGTGCAGATTGAAAAAGATCTCTAGTTTAGTATGTATGTCCAATTATAATCGTCACATTTACTAAAAGATAATACAGTACCGAGTAATAATATTTAAATTAAATGAACTTTTATCATCTATTTAGGGCTTGTACACTTCAGCATAATTTCAGTTTAGTTTAGCTCCAATCAGTTTAATTCAGCTGCTAATTTCCTCCTCTTATAAAATATTAATTTAAGTTTAGTTAAGTTTAACTCCAATTAGTTCAATTCAGTTCAGCTTAGCTCAATTTAGTAAATGTGAATAGACCCTTAGGCATGTCATTTATGTGAGATTATTTATGTGAGATTGTGATAACGTGACAGTTAATTCCAGACAAATAAGCTAATGATACACATAAGCAAATAATACCATCCAAGCACGCCCATAACTCACCCTAGTTTAAGAGAAGTGTCCGAGCTATCATCTTCGGTGAGAGGAGGACCGCCATTCGTGATGGACTCCGACGAGTACTGACCTTCTTCGTGGATGGTCGACGTATCAGACTGATCCAGAAGAAGAGCAGGCTTTCTTTCTTGTGATAATTCAATCATCTGCAACCAAGAATGATCCATGCCAACTACAAAAATAAGCTACTATATATTACAAATTTACAAGTCATAAAAATGTCAAATTAAAGGGTGACTTACTTTTTGTTTCAGCTTTTGATTTTCTTCCATTAATAAATCACCCTGCACTTGCAATTTAGTTAATAAACTTGCATTAACAACTGCAAATTTGTCTCATTAAAATTGCATGTACCTCTATCTATACTGTTAAGGAAATATATACTCATATCATCTCTTTAATTTGTTGATTAATCATTGAAGAATTAGGAAATAAATTTTCTTACCTGTTTTTGGAGAGTCTCGATCTCATGCTTTATACGTTTTCCCTGTATATATGCCAAAATTATTAAAAAGAAATTTGATCATACAATTACACAAATGTAAATATAAACACTAAATCGAGCAATAACATTAGGGCATGTTCAGTTCAGCTCCGCTCAGCAAATCTCTTCGTTTATCCCAATATTTAATTTACAAAAAACATACTTCCTCCATTTCAAACACATTAACACTTTAATTAAAAATGTGGGAGTTTTTTGGCCAAAATATTACAATTTTTATGAAATAGAGGAAGTATATATATATTTAGTATGTAGTACTCAATACTCATATAGAATACATGCAAATGGTCCAATAATAGCCAACTACGTACTATACTTTTTTTTTTTTTTTTTTATAGTTAAATTAGGTCAAAATGTTAAATTTAAAACGACTAGAACAATGTACGAGTGAGTGAGTGACAATTATTTTAGAATGGAAGGTGCGGTAGTATAATCATTCCCACAAATTACTAATTAACAAAGCTTTCATTAAATTAATCCAAACCTTAGTTTCAAGAACCCGGGATAAACTACCCTCAAGGATCCTTTCAAGCTGTAGTAATTCCTCCAAATCCACACCTTGAAGATCCTCTCCTCGCAACTTTCTACACGAATCGAAAGAGAATTATCGTCACTTACTTAGATAACCAGATCTCGTAGAGATCTACGAGCAGTTATATATAATTACAACTAATAAACCTTGCTTAAACATAGTATGTACGTACTACCTTAGTTCCTGGTTTTTATCTGCAACCTCACTGTTGAGTTTAGCAAGATTGCTGTTCTCTAGCTGCCATAAAGAACCATAAGATAATCGAATTACTCAACATATTGTTCTTGTTTATATACAACTGTATGTAACATTGTAAATAGATGCATGAACTTGTATGAACTCGAGTAAACAAATGGCTTGAACTTATATGTTCCATATACATGACAATTTACGCTCATGCAGTGTCCATCTTTAACCATTAATATCTTTAGTTTATACGAAGTATGGATTTAAAATTGAATTTCCAAATAAATTTATGGTCAAAGAAAGTCAAAATTTTCAACTACGTACAAACACATGAATAGTATGTGTGAACGAAGATACCTGCAATTCAAGGAATGGTTCTTCTTCCTTCTTCTCATAATTCGCATGTGCACTGTATCGTGCCAAGATATCCTTCATTCTTCATAAAGATCGATCAAGGTTATTAACTTTAATTTAATAATTATGCAACAAATCTCATATTACAAGATCATATTAGACAAAACAACAATATTGTCGTTATAAAACAAGTCAATATAACACTTAGGTCAATTCCTCATTGGATCATACCTTATATCGTTACTAATCCTTGTTATAATGGCTAAATAGTGTGAGTTACAAGATAAGTAAATAATACATAATAATAAAAAATAAAAAATAAAAAACTGTTTTTGAATTACGACTTTATTGTGTACACCACTATTCCATAGTATATTAATGTGATTATATAAGCTAAATTATAAGGTAAATTATACTCTTAGTCTAGAATTGAATATGTATGTCAAAAAAAGTAGCTATCAAGCTCTAAATGAAATGACGAGTTTTTCATCCTACTAAAAACAGTAACTTTACAATGTTGAAAAATGCAAGCCACCACATTCACAAAATCAAAGCAAACATATGTTTAAATTTCCTATCAATCAACGTTAATTGTAAAGTTTTGATCTTGTATAATGTCCATGTATAGCTATATATATTTGCATCAATCATCATCTTTAAATTTCTCTACAAAAGTCCAATGACAAGCAAGCAAGCAAGCATGCAACAATTAGCTGTAAATCTTTGAAGTGAGTGTAGGTCCATCCCTTTCTATGTCTTCACCTTTCGTTTTGTGTTAATCAAGTGTAGGGTTCATACCTAGATCACTATAGATGTATATATCAAAAGTGACTTCGTTCCTATACAGAAATGATGTAAAGATTGGTTCATATACAAAGTCGTATAGACTATAGACGTATACCCATATGGCCATATCAGAGAAGACTTGCACTTTCTAAGAATCCGGTTAGCATTGCTAGCCGGCTATGTAACCAATTGGCAATACGGTGATCATAACAACGGGAAAGGACATAACTAACAAACAAACAAACAATAATAAAAAGCTTGTCAAGTTGTCATATACATTAACAATGGAAAAAACAGATCTAACATCCAAGTATAGGATATAATTAGCCGAGTATTATTGAGGATTGTAATTACAATTATGCTAATATATGCTACACCTCGTAAAAGTCCTAATGTGCAAGCAACAGGATGGGGGACCGTGGGCCAAAATGGCAATGTTAATTATGGTCTAGACTTTTTATTATATGGTCTCCATTGCAAAGTTACATCAATCCTAATGTCTATAAGCGATGCAATATCATTCCCAAACTTGTTTTTTCTTCTAAATATATAATACCACATTACCACCCTCTAATTTGGTAATGAATGGACCTTTATAAATTTTGAGATATTTTTTATGAATAGTATTCGAACATACTATCTAAAAAGATTACTTATTGGCTTTCATTAATATTTATTAGATTAGTGTGTAAATATTTATGCTCCTAAAGTATTTGTTCACACATTTTCCCATAGTCCATTAATGGCATTATTTTTTGTTTTCAGTTTTTTAATTTTTTTTTTTTTAAAAAAAACGGCCACAAAAATAAAAAAAGGAAAAAAAAATCAATTTTCAAAATTATCATGATTTTAATAAAGTTGGCCAAATTTTGATTCATTATATGACATATATTATATGATTTTGAAAACAAAAAAACATAATACTTTAATGATACTAAACGAACCCTGTTGTGACATAAGGCCAAACAAAAAGAGTTTTCCAGATAAAAAAACAAATAATTAGCGAATAAACATTATTAGGATGAGAATATATACATTGATTGTATTTTTTTACAAACTCATATTGATTTGATATTTAACTTCATAACAAGTACTCCCTCCGTTTCAATATAATAATTTCATATGAAATCAATCACATAAAATAAGGAAAAAAAAATATTTGGAATCTAACATTAAAGTCAAAAACAATAAATAATTAGTTTTGCCTTATTTAATTTTTATTTGATTTTTTAGGAAACTGTCAAACAAAATTGCATAATTCAAGGAAATAATTTCTTTACTTAGAGTCTTGTCATCAATTTACAATCAATTAATTTAATCAATTAGAATTTAATATGTATAAAATAGGAAATAAAAACTAAGTTAAAAGTGGAATATATTCAATATGGATAGATTTTTTTTAAACGCCCAAAATTTTATGGGACTAACAAATTGAAACAGAGGGAGTACCATTTATAATCACTTGCCTTGAGAAAACATGAGAGGTTTAGGTTATGTTGTACTCCGTAATAAATAAGTTTTTTCTTGCCAAAAGTATAATTGAGCTATACAACTAAACTAAACTTTTGTATACACTCTGTTTACACTAATATTAGTGTACATCAAGCAGTATAAGGGTAAGCTATTCACAAAAAAAAAAAAAAACAAAAAAAAAAAAAAAAAAATAGTATAAGGGTAATTTTAGCTAATTTCAAGGTAACTTTTTGCCTTTTTTTTGGTAACTTTAAACATAATAAAAATTTTATACAAATAGACAACAAGAAAAGTTTTATAAAGATAATTTAATTACATTCAATCACTAATAATTGGTTTTTAGTCATTTAAAATGTAATTTTACTAATAAAGTGTAGATAATTTTTATTTATATTAGGTTACTTATATACATATTGGGGTAATTTTTATTCATTTCAAGGGTAACTTTTGATTACTTTAGGCTAACTTTATATTGCACTACAAAAATAAAAGCTAAGCTTTTTAGCAACTAAGTTTGGCAACAGATTTTTAAAATGTTGTTAAATAGCAACGAATCTAAATTTTTTCATTGTCTAATTAAAAGCGACATTTTATGCTTTAGTTTTTAATAAACAATGGTTACATATTTTTTATTGTTGCTTTTTAAAACAAATTGTCTTACAAGTTGTTACTAGACGACATCATATTTTTCTCTTGTTGCCAAATAGTAACAAACTATGACAACAAATATTTTATTTGTATTGATTTAGAAACAAACAAATACAATGAATTTTTGAATTGTTTCCATTAGAAACAAGTCTTTTAAATTATTGTTGCTAATTGATAACGCATTATTTTGTTTGTTGCCATTGGAAACGAGTTGTGTTACTTATTGTTGTTAATTTATATGTAAGCCACTTTTTGCTGTAATGTATAAAATTATTTGTTGCTAAAATAACATCAAATAGAGACGGATTTCAATTTCGTCTCTAATTTAGAGACAAATTTTTTATTTTGTCCCTAATTTGGAGACAAATTTTCAATTTCGTCTCTAATATTTTGTTCACTTATTAGAAATTATATACATAGAAGTAAACAAATAGTACTTGGTATAGTTGGTAAGAGATTCACCATCTGACTTTGAGGTCGAGGTCGCAAGTTCGACTCCTACCAAATGCGATTCTTGAGACTGGGGATTCAGAGAGCCTTACATGCAAAGTCGAGGCGAGTTGACCTAACATGAGTGAGATTTCAGATTGGTAAAGGTCGAGATTGGGTTAAACTGAATTGATAATAGGGATTGGGTTTTTGTCTCGTAGTGTTGATAACAACCAATATTAATGATTTGTAGCTATTTTTATGAACCAACTTTAATAATTTGTTGCTATTTTTAGGAACCAACATTAATAATTTGCTGCTATTTTAAGAACTAACATTAATAATTTATTGCTAATTTTAGCAACAACCAATGGTAATCTGTTGCCAAAGTTGGCAACGAATGCACCAAATACAGCAACAATCATGGAAACTATATTTAAATTGATGCAATATTGCAACAAAATTGCTTTGCAACTGGTTTCCAAAATCCCATGGCAACAAGCCTTTTAGCAACAACAAATTTTTGTTTCCAACCCGTTGCTAAATAGAGTTGGCAACGGATTTTTACTGAATAGAAACAAATTTTAGTTGATGCTATATTGATTTTTTTTGTAGTGTTGGATGTACAATAATTATTGTACACCCGATATTTTTAAAAGTTTGTGTACAACTAAATAGAAAATTGCTTTACAAAATAATTATATGATAAAATAAAATTTATAATTCTATTGTAAATTTGTAATAATACATACATGAAGTATAAATTCACGTAGCAAACTTAGGATATGTTCTCATTGATTGAACTGAATATTTTATGAGAGAAAGAAATTAGGAGCTGAGCTGAACTGAATTGAATTTCAATGTATGAGAACAAACTCTTAGTCCCATTTTACTAATTGCCCTATTTGACAAATAGTGTAATAGCCTTTTGGTCAATTGAGGCAAAAATTCATAGGTTGATATATACACCCTTTGAATGTTTTTTTTCTTCCTTCTTTTGAAAGTTAAATGCATTCTGATAGCTCATTTAATCATCAAATGAAAAAAATAGTCACTAATTGTATAATAAAATTTTCAGCACCTAAATCAAATATTTTTATTTAATTGCTTCCATTCATTTAAAGAAATATATTACGTATGGAGTATTCCCTTTTATCCTATACAGACTTAGGGCATGTTCTTATTGGCTAAACTCAGCTGAGCTGAACTGAAACAAATATTTTATAAGAGAAGGAAATTACGAGTTGAACTGAACTGAATTGAACTGAATTGAATTTCAACGAATGAGAACAGACCCTTACTCCATATGATTAAACTGAATAATACTACATGTATTACTATAAATAAAGAAATTACTACTAGTCGGTTAAAATACCAATACTACATTCTGAAAAAGTTATCAACGCAATAATTAACAATTTCTTTTTCAACTGGCACAAGCTTAATTATTAGCAAACCATTTGGACCAAAATAAGACACAAATACACAATAGGAGTATACATTTTAAGTATAGTATAACTAGAATAAATAAATTAAGACAAAGATTTTTAAATAGATTGGGAAGTGCATGTGGCCAATAATGTTGTTACTCAATTAAGGACCAAAATGCTCCACGGATCGCATAGAACTTAAAGATAACGTATAAGATGAAGTGCTATTCGTGAATAATATGATACTTTTACAATGTTTGGTTTTATTAATCATGCTTATGATTTTAAAGTTGTTATACTTTCATATAGTACATCACATTTACATATACTTATGCCTCACTAAAATTCATAGATATGGATAATAATATGACTTTAGATCACTATATATTTTGTATGATGATAAAATTGTAAATGTATGACATTGAAATTATTTTCTAGTAATTCAACTTTCTTCTAGAGTGAAGGAAGGATAATTATGTTGCCTTCTCTATATTTTTATGATGATTTCAATTCCCCACTTTTTTCTACAAATTTTCTCTCTATTATGGTCATGGATCTTTACTAAATACCTTAATGATCATTATATTCAATCAATAGTTACCTAAAAATTCATCATCACAACCATCATTTATTACCGCCTAGTCGCATACTAACTAAGTCATTTGAGTTCTTCCAATCAAATTATTACAAACAAATAAGGTAGACATGAGCTATTTCCCTAGATACAAGTATTTATATTTGTAATTTATTCAAATGACACTTCTAAGAACATGAATTATATTGATGAAAAAAACCATATATGAAGTTAAATCATCCCGATTTAATTGTCACATTACTAATTTGCTACTCATAAGATTTACATTGATCTAGTGTATATTCTGTATAACATTTTATAATCCACTGTTAGTGAATAATTATTTTATGTTACTGTTGATTATAATTATTTTGGGGGAGCGTTTGATACCATCATACATAATTCTAGGGAGTTGTGAGTTTTGTACTTGTCAACAGTAATCTCACTATCATCTATCTACTCTTTTCCTTCATCCCCATAAATTTATTTCCATTAACATGCTCATATTTTATCAGCAAGAATCATTTAAACAAAAAAAAAAAAAAAAGGACCATAAAAAGAATAATTCAACTCATCAGAAAATCAAGAATAATCTTTCACTTGCAAATAACTTTAATTATTTTACAGATCAGATAATAAACTAAACTTCACTATTACCTAATTTTTTTAAAAAACAAAATTATCACCTCATTCTTTCTTTTCAAAAAGCTTTTTCATACTAATTATGAAAGATTGTTCATTTTTAAAGAAAATTTCTACATGGAAGGCTACCATTATTGTCTTAGTCAAAAATAAAGTCAAAACACGATTAGAAGAACATTACGAGACAGAGGTGGTATATGAAAAAATAACATAAACCTTTCCAAAAATAATTGGATTGCTAAGCTAGTAATCTAGATTTACCTGGAGTTGGAGAAATCAAACAATTTGCCAGTAGCAGAGAAGATGATGAGGGCAATATCGGCATCGCAAAGAACTGAAAGTTCCTCAGCTTTTTTAAAGATCCCTCTTCTTCTCTTAGAGAAGGTAACTTGTCTTGCTGTTATATTGTCTATCTTCTTTATCTTTATCTTCTCCCTCGCCATCGATGACGACAATGATGATCTTCCTGCCATTTTTACCCCTCTCAAGCTCAATTATCAGTAAATTATAAAACTAATCCAAATAATAATGTAGATTATACTCTTTCTATAAATATATGGGTAACAAAATATTGAACATTATATTATGTTATGGAGTATTTTATTTAAGACATGAAATTATACAATATTCTAGATCTACAAATACCAATGCAATAAATTAAATTAAATTAAATCTAATCAAGATTTTAAAAGAATAAAAAAGAGTGATGAAAAGAGAGAAAATATAAGAAGGGTTAGTACAAAAACTATATAAAGTAATATTACTAAAATTAGTAAAGAAAAAAAGGAAACCCTAGATCAGAAAAACCCAGAAGTAAAAAAAATGGAACAACCAATAATAGTAGATTAACATGTTTATTAGCAAGACAGAGAACATAAATAAAATAAATATATCTATAAACAGTAAGTATTTTTCTTGAGATTTGGTTTCTTTTTTCTTCCATGAATGAATATGAATATTTTTTTTGCAGAGGAGAGAGAAAGAAAGAGAGAGAGGGCAGACTTTTCATACCTGAGTCAATGAAGCAATGCTAACTATTCTGGGCAGGTATACAGTTTCGTGGAGAAACTTGTCAATATCTTCATATATAAAAAAAATGTAATTAGGGAGTACGAGTACTAGACAAGAAAAGGCAGCCAATTAGCAAGGGAATCGGACTTGCGTGTGGACCTACCTAAGATGTATTCACTTCAACTTATTTCAAATACTTATTACTTACTTCTTAATAAATTCAGATTAGATCAGAAAGATATCAGATCAGATCAGAACTTTTGATTATCGTTAAATATCGTTAATTGCGTATTAAATTTTTTTACAAAAATTACATATTTAAAATGTTCATAATGAGACGAATCTAATCCATTTTGATAATATTTTTCTTTATAGATTAGTATTAATGCGGTCAAAGTTTAGTCAAATTGTTAAATCAGATCAAACTAGACCAGATCAGACCTGAAAAAATTCAGACCAGATCAGACCTGAAAAAATTCAGACCAGATCAGACCTTAAAAAATTCAGACCAGACCTACTAGTTTCAGGTGAAGAGAACAAGTCCTTAGGAGCGTTTTATTTACCTGATTTTCCACTTGTTTTATCATACACTATTATTATTAGAACTTGGTAGCCCTTATCATAATTTATTTTACCTCAACTGAACTTAATCGGAGTATGAAGTTATTACACTTGAAATAAGTGAAAATAAAGTGAATAAAACATATTCCAGCCTTAATAGAATGAGTTGAATTGAAATGGGTAATAATTAATTACTCCATAAAAACAATAACTAGATAGTCCGGGTATTTCTTCAAATTACCACTTTTGTAGTTGAGCAACTGCTAATTATTAAAGACATTTAATAATTTGTACTCCATATGTGTTTTTAATACTTTTAAAGTATATAATATTAATTTAATTTGTATAGTATAATTGACAATTAACCTAAATAGTTAAACAATGATGTTTTTTTCTAAGAGGTTGAATTGAGTGTTCAAATCTCCTCATCCATAATCTTTTAGATAGATTGATATAAATAATAAATTACATGTATCATTTGACTTTTTGCACGGCTCAATGACTTTGATTATAAATATTACTTTATCCTTACGTAGTAATAGTAGACAATAGAGATATTAACATACTTATGTTTTATAATTTAGGTTCATCTTATTGAATATTTTCAACACAAATTAATTTTTCATAATTTGTTACTAGTAGATAATTAGAGATATCAATATTTAAATTTGGGTTCTTTAAAAAAAATGTAAATTTGGGTGTTTAACAAGTATGTCAAATAAAATGATGCATTTATTTTGAAACAAACGAAGAAAGTATCAATTAATTGTGGTCCTTGCACGGTGTGGCTATACGAGAATTTGTTGTATAATAACTAATAAGAGACTAAAAGCCAAATGCAAAGTAGGTTTATACTTAAAAAGAGAGGGATGAAAGTTGTAAAGCTATATTAATTGTGGTCCTTGAATCCTTGTACTGTGTGTTTTAAGTACTATGATGAGTCTATATGAGGACTTAAAGAAGGGCTGTTATACTTGTATTATTATGGCTAAATTCTGGTGACCATTTTTTCACTCTTTTAAATAAGTACTTATAGGCTTATACTCTTATAGTACGGTGTAATGTTACTCATGAAAAGCATAATAGATTACATGTGTGATGTGTTCGAGCCTCTGGTCTAGTCAAGAATCAAGATTAAGCTTTGGGTTGCCTAACTAGTTCATGACACTCGCCTTTTTCACTAACTTCTCAAGTCGTGCTAAGTAGAGGTCAGTGTTGAGCTCGACTCATGAAATATATTTTAAATGATACGAACACGCAAGCATATCAACACCTATTGTACTGTGTTAATACTTTTTTTGTTAACTAAGTACAAATGTGTTAAAGTAAAAAATAAAAAAAACATTAAGTGTCTGTTCTCATTGACTGAACTCAGTTGAATTGAACTCAGCTGAACGGAAATAAACTGAAATTAATATTTTATAAGAGAAGGAAATTAGGAGCTGAGCTGAACTGAACTGAGCTGAGCTGAACGGAAATAAACTGAAATTAATATTTTATAAGAGAAGGAAATTAGGAGTTGAACTGAAAATAAATGTATGAGAACAAACCCTAATTCCTACTAATACATACTTCGTATGCTTTTCCTCCTACTCCCAAAGTGCCGATGATCAGTGGGTTGTCACGCGGTCTTTGATTGTCAATGTAATGTTCGGAATCGAAGACTTTGGGTCTCGAAGAGGGAAGGCGGGGTGGGTAACATGTCCGAGAGGCAGTAGCAGCACCGTACAGAGGTTACACGACATTCCTAATTGGGGGTTTTGAGGTAGGTCTGTTCTCATATGTTTATTTTCATTTCAGTTCAGTTCAGCCTATGAAAACAGGCCCGTATTATAAAATTATAGAAAACAGAAGTGGGTCAAATATAGTTTGTTTAAAAGTATATTGATATGAGAAAAAAAATTAACAAAATTGACCGGAAGGATTTGTGAGAAATTTCGGGCCAATAAAGCCCTTCTCCAAAAAAAAAAAAAAACTTTCGTACATGGGTGAGTGGTTGGAAATTAAATATTACGTATGATTCTCAAGGACATCATAAGCTCTTTAACAACACGTTTAATACGTGGGAATGCATGGAAGTGATGAAGAGAAGTGCTTCTCTAAATAGGGAAGGAATAATGAGGAGGGCTCCAAACCTTTTTCACTTTCAAGTATTCTACCCTAAGCTAAGCCTCAAATTTATGAGACCATAGATTTACTTTGATTGATTATATTCCAAGAGATACCCGATTGCACGAACTAACCATTTTAAGTTGATTGAGAAAGACTATTTAGAGACTCGCACTATAGAATTGGTGACCAAAATAAAGTGAGAAATTTAGCTTAGGTTTGTGTCAAATTGAAGCTAAGGAATGGTACTTATCTTAACTTATCTGATCTTATGAGTCTATTCACTACTACTCTTTTCGTTTTTAAATACTTGTTCCATTTCTATTTTTTGCACTATTCATTTGTTCTACTTTGACTAATGTTTGTGATTTATACATAAGAAAAAATATAGTCTTGTGGGTACTTGTTGGAATCATCTCAATGAATAGACTATTAGTTTTCAATTGTTAGAATTTATACTTATTAATAATTAATGATATTAGTGATCAAATATTAGCATCGATATGCATATCTAAGAGAAATGGAACAAGTATTTAAAAACGAACGGTGTATTCTTTATTATCCAAAAAAATGAAATAAGTGGAGGAGGAGTTGTTCCTGTAATCCGTACAAAAGTGGCAGAGAGTCGAGCGTGATATAATTACCCTACTTGTACGTTTTGGCAGATAACCACGCATCAACCATCACTATCTTATTCACTATTCTTCATTACCTGACTTTCGATGTCTATCCCCAACAATTTAAAGTTATGTTCTATTTTTATTTTTATTTTTATTTTTATTTTTTGAAAAAATAAAAAAGGTGTTCATGCTAATTTGTACGGGCAACTAATTTTCTTTGACTGCAGTTTTCATATGCTAATTGAAAGATAATGTGAGAGGATGTACGTAAAATTACATTCGATTGGATACAAGTAATTTTTCAAATTTATGATCACAAAATAACTCAATGTTATTCTAAATTAGGAAAAAACATTACTTATATATTATTGATAAGAGACATATTAATATTTTTGTTCCCCTAATATATGTTTACAGTCAAGTCATCACATATTTGGAAATTTACGCCTTTTTTTTTTCCCTACAAATCTTTTTCAATCTAACATGTTAATTCTTTATTGTGTGTCATGTCATTACTCTCAAGTCTCTTTCTTGATTTCTTCCTCCAATCACTACACGTTAGGGTTTAATATTTTAAACCCCTAATCACCCTACTTCTTCCTTTTCTAGCTAATTGATATTCCTATATGAATGGTAGGGAAAATAGATGAAAGTATAAACATAAAAAATAGGGCGAGCTTAAATTAATCAATATGGGATAAATGAGACCCATTAGTATGATCATTTAAATTTTTTAAAAGTTATATTGTTTGTATTTCGTATGGAACTTAGGCATGTTTTGTTCAGCTTATTTTCGGTTCAGTTTAGTTCATCTCCAAATAAGTTTAATTCAATTCAGTTCTTAATTTTCTTTTTTCATAAAATATTCATTTCAGTTCATTTCAACTCATTAAGTAAATCAGAGCAGACCCTTATTAATGAGATTGAAATAAATGCTCACTTTTTAAAAGAAAGAATAATAAATGCTCACTTAGTCCCAATGACAGAGCCTAGGGGGGCTGGTGGGGGCCTTGGGCTCCCCCTTGGCTCGTGATAAAATTAAATTATGCTAACATATATTATAAGTTAAGTGCGTGCAGAGAAGTTGATTTTTGTCATTAAATAGAAGGCAAGATGTTAAGGGTTCAAATCATGCAACTAACATATTGTTTTGTTATAATTGGCCCCCCTTTACTGAAATTTTTTGGCTCCGCCACTGCGTAGGGCCTGTTTATGCACTTCAGCTTAAGTTTAGTTTAGTTCAATTCAGTTCAGTTCAACTTCTAATTTCCTTCTCTCATAAAATATTCATTTCATCTCGATCTATTCAGTTTAGCTCCAATCAGTTTAGTTCAATTCAATTCAGCTCCAATCAGTTCTGTTTCGGGGTTTTCTGATGTCCTGCGGGAGAGTTACAATTCCGAGACTGGAACCAGACGCCTGTACCTGCAAAATAACGGAGACTCCTGTGAGCTCCGCCTCCAACGGTCAAGTTAGTAACTGATTAAGGAGAAATTAATACGGAAATTAAAGTGATTAGGGTCTCTCTAGGTGAGAGTGTTTAATGTAGGTAATCTGCTTTGTTAGCGAGATCAGCCGGTTATTACTGTGTGTAATTAATGTGTTTGTTCCGTAATGTTTTTCGTAAAAACCTTCTCCTCCCCCTTAATGAGGATTAAGGGAGGTATTTATAACCTTGGGAAACGCGCCCATCCTAGGTTTAGGTAAACCTAGGGCCGATTGGGCTTCCCTCGGAAATTGGGCCTGGGTGGCCGGTTTCTCCATCTGTATCTGGAGTATGCCACATGTCGTGACATAACAGGTCCAAGGTGGACGAATAAGCGCGTGCCACGTGGCA